TAGACCCCTAACAGGCACATATAGACCCCTAACAGGCACATCTAGACCCCTAACAAGCACATCTAGACCCCTAACAGGCACATCTAGACCCCTAACAGGCATATCTAGCACTATAACAGGCATATCTAAACCCCTAACAGGCACATCTAGACCCCTGACAGGTATATTTAGACCCCTAACAGGCACATCTAGACCCCTAACAGGCACATCTAGACCCCTAACAGGTATATCTAGACCCCTAACAGGTACTGGCCGGATTTCCCAAAAGTCAGCCTCAGTTCTGATCTTTGCCAGCTTAGCCGTCTTATTTCAGGTTCAATGATTTGAAAATGTTGAACAGGATAAACGAAATCGGCCATAATGGTGGAGAGATTTCATAGTCGGGTTTTATGCTAGAAAAGGAACCCCGCCATTTAAAAAAATGAATTTGAATCGGCCTTTGTCATAAGTTGTTTGAACTGTTCCTAACCTTACTTAGGTAGAGTATACTGAATTCAATATATCAAACACTGCTCATATCTTGTTAACTCGAAAATTACAGTAGAAAAGTTCTATATATCAACTTAATGTGATGTTACATCCTTTTATGAGGCCTTCGTATATCGTAGATAAATAGGCAATGGGCGATAATGCGTGACAGTTGCACAGCTATACCCTCCTAACGTCACTTTTAAATTGTCTCTGAACATAGATGTTCATTCAGGCGAAGGAAAATGCAGTGGCTTATATATATAGGATCTTACATGAGTTTCCATTTCATATGAGATGTATGAAACAAGTCTGAGAATTTTTCAATTTAGCGAGCCTCTGGCGTGGCGAGCTAAAATGAAAAAAATCGTGACGAGTTTCATAAATTTCATATGAAATTAAAACGAGTGTAAAATCCTGTTTATCACATAAGCAAGATTTGTGGCATTTATTCATGTAAAACGACAACTTTCATGCACCCATGAAATGTAAACAGACGCCATTTTGACTCCAGGGCGTAAGTCTGTGACGTCATGTACTTGTCCTAGGCGTGACGTCACAATTGAAACAATTGAAACTTACAACCAATCACTGGGCTGATAAGTCATATTTCATTGGTTAATACGCAAACAAATATGACATGGGTATATTCACTGGATAACACAGTAAATTATGTGATAAATGTACTTAGTAATCAAAATGATATTCGTGGGAAATTTTACATTAAAATACGTATATGAGTATAAGGTGATATAAAATTGATGACATTGCAAAATAATGATGAAAACTTATCATAATAATTTGAATGTTCAATACTCTCTATGACAGTGGCATAATATCACTGACCGATTGAAATCCTACAAAATCAATAAAAGGTTTTAATTAATCAATTATTAGATTATATTTAGAGGTTATCATATGACAATTTTCATATTCTACTCCGTTTCAGCCTGATACCTCCAAATCAGTTTGAAGGTTGATATGGGTCGAGGTTTGACCACAGAATCTGAGGAGATACCAAAACATACGAAAGGACACCAACAGTCTCCTGTAGGAGTTTAAGCAGCGACCATATCGCTAGATTAATGAAATATTGGACTGGAGTCTTGTAAGAACTTTTAAGTGGTCGAAAATGATTTTTGTCGATTTTTTATTATTTAATTATGCATGTTTTCTAGTTCTCCTGTTGTCTCCTGGTCTCACTATTTTTTTCTTTTGCTGAGATTTTTTTTCTTGATTTGTAAATCCGACTGTCTTACAAGTGTACAAATCCGATAGCCTTATGTACAAAAAATCCTACCTTTAACAAATTACTAAGACCACAAAGACAATAGTTACATGTACTTATATGGTTAGAGATATTACGACCCTTTCACAGAACAACACTGACCTTCAGTTTCAAAGCCATGTGAATGCCAGCAGGCCCCGCCCCAATAATGGCGATCTTATCATCGAAATTTTCAGGCCCTGAGATAGAGGGAAATCCCGACTCCGAAATATCTACTTCTTCTTCTTCTGAGGACGATGAGGCCGACGAGGACGAGGACGAGAACGAGAACGATGAGGCCGACGAGGACGAGGACGATGAGGCCGACGAGGACGAGGACGATGAACTTGGACGGTGATTTTTAGTAGAATGCTGACGACCTCTTGCGACTATAGACGAAATAAATATAAAACAGAAATACTCATAAAGAGGTTGTTAAAAAGGCAACCTAGACGGACTTTAAAATCAAATTCATAATACAATATTATCAATTCTTTTTAAAGATCATAGCATACATTTTCTTCGGACAACTTTACAATACTAAAAATTTAATTAATTAGCGTTACTAGTCACATAACAACACTAAAAATGTATTATATAAATGATTATATCACTCTCAGTGTTCTATTTACATATTTTAAATAAGTTTTCAGATCTTGGATGGACAGTTAGCGACTGCGCTTATGGTTCAATTAAAAAGCCGTTTATGGTACAAATATAAGGACATATATCATATAAAAAAAAAACATACATATATGGTACAATTGATAACACATTTATGGTAAAATATAAAAGATGTATATGGTATAATTAATAAGACTTTTAAGGTAAAAAAAAATAATGTTTATAGTATTATTGATAAGACCTAAATGGTAAAATAAAAAGACGTATATGGTATATTTAATAAGACTTTTAAGGTAAAAAAAACCAAATACGTTTATTGTATAATTTATAAGACCTAAATGGTAAAATAAAAAGACGTATATGGTATAATTTAAAAAAAACTAATGATAAAATGGTATCGGTCGATATCACTTTTTCATGTCCATATTACCACGTATTTAACCTAACAACACTCCATAAATAATAGATATTTTATACAATAGTCAATGGTTTCTGAATTTCAATGAGCATTTACACTTTGTTTAAAGACTGCCTTCTCAATACATGTTCGCTAAGACGTTTGAAATAGTGGATTTGATATAGTGAATATACATGTAGACTTACTTTCCAACAACTCAATGAGATCTCGCTCCAAAGGTGGCATCCCTCCTATCGCCTATACAAAAATAACAAAAAATGTCTAAATAAAATCACATTTAAGAAAGTTAAATGACCATATACCTGAAACTAGTACACTGAACACTATTTTTTAGTTATCGTCCATTTCTTAAACACTTCAGTTTCAAAATAATAAAGGAGAAATCAATTACTCAAAATGGAGTATTTAAAAAGCTTTATATAGAATTACAAAACACAGGTATTGAAAATCAATTACATAAATTAGATTAAAACACAAATAATAAGATAGGCTAATTGCAGAAAAAAACCCATAATAGTCCTTTTGATATTGGTTTTTTTTTTAATGTAATAGCCTGATTATTTATAAAAAAAAAGGGTCCAGTTGTTTACAAGTGGCTAGCTTAAGCACTGTTTAACAATATTTTTAAACCTTTGATTATTTCGTCAATATACAAGGTAATATCTCACATTTTGCATGTAAATTTACTCTACGAAATATTTATATCTAGAAAGGTTGTAACTAATTTAATGGTTGTGTTTAAAAAAAAAAACAAAAAAAAACACAAAAATATAATTTTGCACTCATCACTTATTAAGCTAATCACCTTTTGGACAACGGGGCCAAGATCATAAAATACCGATAAATGTGTACAGTATAAGTGAACCTACCTGAAAACACCCGACTAGGATACACGTCAGCATCACGAGCGTCCCCATCATGCTGTTGCGTTTACCGTGTCAAGAAGTTGAAATAAACTTGTTTAACCAGTACGCATACTAATATCATGTCTGTAAAGGGCGTGTTGATATCCACTTAAGCGTGAAGTGTTTACCTGTTTACGTTTGCGAAATGTTGTTTATCTGAACACAAATGCTACTTTTTTGAATTCATCTATTCAAACACATCGGGTAGAATTCCTGTCCTTTCTCCTTAATATATGAGTGTTATTTTTAAAGTTATATTGTAATAGCATATATATATATATATATATATATGTTGATATGGAGTTTTCATTCGTCATGCTTGAGCATACGGTCGTATACGACATGAAGCTCTCTATAAACCTTATTTTTAAGTTGTATGGCATATTTGGGTTTGAAATGATTTTACGTACACAGGTAAGATAAACACATTGTTTTTGCTATTTAGTGCTTCCCTCACCCACGTGTTTATTAGATATTCAAGGTCTTGCTCTGCAATGATGTCAACGGCTGACGAATACATTTACTACAGAAAGTTCCGTGAGATACAGGTTGATGAAGCCTGTAGTCGCAATAATGACCTGAAAGGAAATCGATATATTTCCTTTTACGTAGTGATGTCGATGTGTTTAAACATGCTCATTAGTATACGCTGTGGTGTCTTTGTCACTACTCCTACCCTCATTTGTACATGTAGTACGTAATATTGCCTATTTGATTTGATCTTGATTTAAATGGCGGGTATCGTCCACGACGAAGAAAACTCTAACTATTCCGAAACACTTAATCTTCGTATCCTTGACCTTGGCCTTGGTAATTAGAACAGGAGGGGAGGACGTGTTCGGTAGTGTCAGCTGACTGATAACAAGGACACCTACCGGTAGGGAGTACTGTTAGAGGGTATCGTTACAGTTAGGGGATACCATTAGGGGGTACCGTTAGAAACAATGGTAGTTTGAGTTCTAGAGATGAAAGGTACATTTGTATTTGGGGGGGGGGG